GAAGCAATTCAACAATAATAACGTTAGTCAAATCAAATATAAAATGACCCTAATCATAATACTAGCATCAAGAATAAAAATAAGAGTAATTAAGTGAATAATTACTCACTTTCCGCGTTTCCTTGAATTGCTACATCATGAATAAACTGTTAGTAACTTCAACAAAAATAAATCAAATGGAAATTAAATTAAATTAGATTTGATTTGGTCCAAACCCTCAAACAGTTCTACCTTTCACGCCTTGGCTTAAGGACAGAACCACGAGTAAAGTATGGACTCCTTGGAGTGCTTGAAGAAGGAATTTTGAAAGAAAAAGGGTAGGCTAGTGTTTAGGCTAGAGCATAGAATAGAGAAAAATAGAGAATTCATTGATGCCCCGTACATCAGAAATGAGGGGGTATTTATAGAAAAAATGTGCTGAGGGAACACACGGAACCCTAAATGATAAAAAAACCTAAAAAAGTATCCCGCGACACGGCAAAGTGTACCGTGACTTATCTAGGGTTTTGAGCCTTTATCCCCTTCTTTTTCAGCCTTTAACCTAACCACGTTACAACCCTTAAAAAGACCTTTTTGAGGTATACACACTTGTGCGAGGTTCGGCTAGAGCTACGTTCGGCCTGATTCCTAACAAGTACTTAGGCAACCTCACATCGAGGTGCGGCCGTAATAAAAATGCATTCATATTCACACACTTACACCATGATCATATCAAGGGATCTCCTATGCTCATCCCTATTTACTTAGAGCTGGACTTGGGGGCTTGATCCTTATATCATTAGCTTACCTAGCCTAAGAGCCACCACCACTTGACTCTTTTCAATATATCTTTCTACACACTTAGCTCTTGCGGCCTAACTTTAGTGTCACTTTCACACACCGCACAGATACATGACCAAATATACTTCCCTTAGGAACCCTTTGTCATGAAATCTTAACATAACGCTGAAGCATGCCTTGTCATATCAACATCACTCATCAATAATAATCATCATTGCATCATGAAGTATGAAGTCCTCAGCCTCCGTGCCTAAGTTACCCAAATGTTTTCGTCATTGAGTCAATCATTGAGACAGCCTAAGATGGATTAATCCTTGCACCTTGAGAGATAGTATCAAACAACATTTGACTAAGCTCATTCAACATGCACCTTCAAAGACTTCGATCCTTTTTTTTTGCGTCTTTCTTTTTTGGGAGAAAGTCGGTACCCTCCACAAAAATGACGGAAATTTTTTGCTTTTTTGCATTTTTGAGTCGCCACAATCACATTACAATGCACACACGAGTCATGTACACATTGAATCATGTCGTGTCATATCACTTTGATTTGAGTCTAACACATGTGTCATTTCACTTCGAGTCGAGTCAACCTCAAGTTAATCACAGAGAGTCAAGTTTATACCTTGAGTCGTGTCAAGTCGATGAGTCAAGCGACGTTAAACCTTAGGTCAACCCTATGATAATTGAAGAAATTGGAAAAATTCTATAGTCGAAAATGAATACAGGTGCATCAGAAAAGGGAAGACCCTACTCCAGCGCCAGACGACAACATCTAGCATATGGAAACAGATTTCAACGCTTGGCGCTAGATCTCAGCGTCTGGCGGCAGAGTCAATTCTTGGCGCCAGAGATATTTCAGCAGCGACAGAGCTCGAAGCCTCTCAGAAAGGTGACTTTGACCTCATACAGCAATTTCGGGTTCCTTGGTACGCCAGTTAGCCCCTATAAGCAATTTGACATGATTAAGTAATCAGTTTGATTACAATCACAATAAGTGATCGACCTGATGAAAGATCGTCTCACTTAGCATAAAGCGCCTAAGAATTGGCTCATCACGGAAACACCGACATACTGGTTTTAGCGGAAGAAAAGTTTAGGCGAGCTTTAGAGATCGACAAACGTTGGTCTTCGGAAATTTTTCTTCAGAATATTATCGCAACAAACGTTCAAGTACCGAACCTCTATTGTTCAGAGACGCGTGAACATCTCCATCAAAGCTCTTTGCTCCAGAGACGCATGGGCATATCATCAAAGCTCTTTTGTTCAAAGACACGTGGACATTCCTTTCAAAAGCTCTTTTGCTCCAGAGACGCGTGGGCATATCATCAAAGCTCTTTTGTTCAGAGACGCGTGGACATTTCATTCAAGATCTATTATCCAGAGACGCGTGGGCATATCAATCAAGCTCTTTTGTTCAGAGATGCGTGGACAATCCTTTTTAAGCTCTTTTGTTCAGAGACGCGTGGACATTTCCTACAAGCTCTTTTGCTCAGAGACGCGTGGGCATCCTATTATCAAGCTCTTCGTTCAGAGACGCGTGGACACATCATTCAGAAGATCATATCAAAAAGAAGCTCTTTGTTCAGAGAAGCAGGAACATATCAAAAAGAAGCTCTTTGTTCAGAGACGAGTGAACATCGAAAAAGCAAGGTGGCGTTCCCTAGATTGTGGAGAGTTGTCACAAACAACTGAGGATTGTTTCAAGAGAATTAATCTTCTATAGTATTCCCTTGGACGTGGAATATTATCAATGCGGATGAGGATTGTTTCAAGAGAAGCAATCTTCGATAGTATTCCCTTGGACGTGGAATATTATCAATGCGGATGAGGATTGTTTCAAGAGAAGCAATCTTCGATAGTATTCCCTTGGAAGTGGAGTACTATCATAGCGGAAGAGGATTGTTTCAAGAGAAGCAATATTTGATAGTATTCCCTTGGACGTGGAATATTATCAAAGCAGAGGAGGATAGTTTCAGGCGAAGCAATCTTCTATATTAGAAGCAGTTACAAGTGTAGCAGTTTTCAAGCGGGATGACATTCTCTAGCTTGCAAGAGGTCATCAAAACAACAGTAAAGCGGCAGCAAATCGGTTACTTTCAGAGACGTGTGCTTGACGGTGCAAGATACGCGTTTCTTAACTCTTTTATTTGTTTAACTAACGCTAGTTTGCAGGTATCGGCATTACAAGAGTGGCTTAGGATCGCAGAGCGTCCTAAATCATTCTCCGTCCCTATCGATACTTTGACTTTTGTTTTCGAAACTCTCGTTTCTCCAAACTCAGTCAAAGTGGGGGCTTCTGTAGACACCCATTTGTGTCTCCCCAAAACCAAACCCAATGATGAGTACCTTTCGCGTCGAATCATAATCGAATGAAGTGAAAGTGTGGAAAGTTTAGTGTTGCGGAAAGTTTTAATTTCTTTTCTCTTCTCTCTATTTTTAAAAACTTATTTTAAGAAAATAGACAATCCAGTTTGGTTGGTCCATGATATGGGTCCTATAATGGTGTAGTTGGATGGGGCTTGACAAGATCTTTCCAACGATATATTATAAGCCCAATTCCGATGAATATTGAGGAAGTTATGGCCAATTTAGTGAACTGGGCCCGGTTTGAGCTTTATGTGCAGCCCAATGATCTAGGGGAGGGCCTAATATGTTTTATCATTCCTAATGCAATTAGGAATGGTTTTAGTCTTCTAGATTCTTCTAGAAGGTTCTTTTCATTCCTAATTCAATTAGCATTGATAAATTGACTTTTGTTGACTTTTCAGAGTTTTAATTAAAATCAAAGAGCATTTTTGAGGGAAATACAATTTTATCCTCCTGTACGGCAATTTTTATCTGATTTTAAGGAAACGCGTGATTTTCTGAATCAGCGCCAAATGCCAGCTGTAGCGCCTGGCGCTAACGTTGGCGCCTGGCGCCAACAACCAGCGTTGGCGCCAACTCTGTTTTTCGTGCGCCAGACTATGTTTTGATATTTTATCTTTTTGGCTGATTTTCTCTATAAATAACGTATTAAAAACTCCGTTTTCGAAAACCAGTTTTCATCAATTCTTATTTTAGAACCAATTTTAACCAGTATTAATCAACAACCAGTTTTCATCTATAATCAATCTACCAACTCTCATCAAGTTTTGCTTGATTACTCTCTCTCTCTCACTCTTTTCTAAACTAGCTTTTCTCACATATAAAAATTTCGCATTCATTAGATCTAGAAACACCTAGCCATATTCGAAGTTGCATTCGCCCTAGACGTGAAAGGTTTAATTTCTGAGGGTTTGGTCCCAAATCTCTCTTTCAATTATTTAGTTTAATTATTTGTTTATTATTTTCCTTGAAGTTACTAACGTGTGTATTTTGTTGTTAGAAAGAGGTACGAGGCATCAAAGTAAGTACTTTAATGGTTTTTATTGATGTTATGATGTAGAAATCATGCTTAGGTTGTTATTTTGATTCCTAGTATCATGTCTAGGGTAATTTTAATATCAAGTATGATCGTTATGATGCCTTTTATATTCTTCCTAATATTTATGATTGTTAGTATCATGTTAGGGTTAAAGATTTGATTTTTATTGTTTAGTGACATGCTAGGGTTTGTTATTAATCTTGTTAGTATCATGCCTAAGATCTTGCTATGCTTTAACATGATTATTATTATGATTAATATAATTGTTATTATGATGATTATTGTTTTGATTATTATTATGATTATTTTTATTTTAATTATTTATGATTATTATTATTATGTTGCTTGTTATTTATTTTTATTGCTTGATCACACCTTTTATGCATGTTTAAAGGGAATTTTGTACTTGTAATCACGCTTAATAAGATAATTAATAATCTTGTTAGGGTTAATATGATTATAATTCAAGTGATCGTCAATAATTGATTTATTTGTGCATTAAATTCAACCAACATAGATAAACAGGTTTAGGATTAATCCTATTGATTGTATGTTAGTCAGAAAGCGCACATGAATACAGAATAAAGTAGAGGCCTATTATTACGGCAGGTTCAATCTCTTTTAGGTTGGATTTGTACCTTCATCCCCGAACCCTTATTTGGTTCAAGACCTTATGGAGTTGACGACAGTGGCGGACCCAGGAATTGAACCTAGGGGGTTTGAACTTTATCAAACACCCGATATCCAAATGCACGGATATAAATCGGGTATACAAGTATAAAATAGAATGTTCAAATAAATATCAATACACAAGTAAACAACAAAATAAGTCCAAATTTCAATAAAATTGCAAAATAAAATGATCTGATACAACAATACATAACTTCAATTAAATGTCAAAATACAATACATAAAAAAGATGCAAATTACAAAAGCATTCTTCGAGTTTTCTTACTTTGAAAACGTTCCAATACATCATTGTCACTAACGTTCAAGAAATGTGACTAAACAATCATTCATTAGTTGATCTCCCATACTATTTCTCAACTTGTTCTTCACATAAGTCATCGAAGAAAACACCCTTTCCACACTTGCAGCTGCCACCGGAAGGATTAATACTAATCGAACAAGCAAATAAACCATTTTGTAAGAACAATGTTTATTTGTTTCAACTAGCATCATAGAAAGCTCATTAATATCCTTCAATTTGTTGAACCTCTCATCTTTCCGCATGTCATCAATAAAAAACTCAAGTTCATGACGAAGTGCTGTCATTGTCATATCATTACTTGGAAACTCTTTCGGGTAAAACTCGGCAAGTCTCATCAACTTTTTCTTATCAAATGCAGCAAAAGAATTGATAGGATTCAAGCAAGCCATACAAACAAGCAACTCCATATTTGCCTTATCAAATCTATTATTAAGCTCTTGAAGTTGTAAATCGATAACACTTACAAACATCTCAATTCGAAAGCGATGAAGATTTTGAACTTTAGCAAAGAAGCGCTTTGATCTCCCACGGGGAACATACAAATCACTCATACCAGGAACATAAATGTTATGTTTAACACAAAAACAAGTGACAAGATCTAAAAAGTCATCCCACCCATGTTCCCTCATCTTTTGCAACTTCTCTTTGGTCAAGGTAACAAATGACATGGCATTAACAATATCTTGATCCCCCCTTTGCGAAGCTTGACACAATTTCTCTGTTATCCCAAAAATTTCGGACATTTAGTGTATCATGAATATGAACTCAAATGACTCAAATGTATCCATAATAGTGATAGCTTTGACACGATCCTCCTTGTAAATCTTATTTGCTCCAATCTTTTTAATAACCTTAACAATGGAAGAATACAATGAAGTGACATTCGCAACAGTTTTATAATGTGATCCCCAACGAGTATCACCCGGCTTACCCAAACCCATTTCTTGGTTTAACCCTTGTCCACTTTCAATTTCACCTAAATCTAATGCTTCAAGCACTTCTTGAGATTGAGTTTCTCTGATCATTTCCCTTCGCTTACAAGATACTCCAATCACATTCAACAACATTGTAAGTTGTTCAAAAAGCCAAATACAATCATCATTTAGCAACAACAACAAGAGTCAATTGAAGTTGATGAGCAAAACAATGAACATAATAAGCTTCTTTCGTATCATTCATGACCAAAGTTTTAGACCATTTATCTCACCCCTCATGTTACTAGCCCCGTCATAACCTTGTCCACGAACTCTAGACAAACTCAATGAATGTTCCATAAGCAAAGTTTCAATTGCAAGTTTTAATGTTAAAGTAGTTGTATCTCCAACTTGTACAATTCTAAGAAACCTTTCACCTATCCCACCTTTTTTATTCACATAACGCAAACAAAGGGCCATTTGTTCTTTTTGAGACACATCACTAGACTCGTCAGCTAGTATACCAAAGTAGTCACCATTAAGATCTTCTATAAGTAGCCTAGTGGTCTCTTTGGCACAAGAGTTTATAAGGTCTTTTTGGATGGATGGAGCAATCATTTGATTGTTTCCGGGAGCACTAGTTCATACAACCTGCTTAACATCATCATTATTATCAGCAAGCCATTCTAAAAGGGCTAGAAAGTTCCCTCGATTACTTGAATCCTCACTTTCATCATGTCCCCGAAAAGCTAAACCTTGATTCAAAAGAAACCTAACACATTTGAGTGAGTATGTTAAGCGTCTTTTGTAAAAAATTCTAGCCTCTGATGTGTATGTACTAAAAGTTTCTATGATTGATGTTTTTGGTTTTATGTAGTTATCATATTTCTCTTGAGCTTGATTATGAGCACTACCAACACCACCAACATGTCTATCAAATCTTTCAATTTTATTCCAACCCCTAAATCCCCCTTTTACAAAAGTATCACCACCCGGAGATGTAATTTTGTCCTTAAACAAGTAGCACACAAAACAAAAGGCCGCATATTTCTCAACACTATATTCAAGCCATTCATACTTATCAAACCAATAAACATTAAAGTGACGCATACCTCCAATTGATCGTTGAGGGAAATTATGAGTGCGTGGGTCACAACTTTTCTTGGAAATATATCCTCTCCTCACGGCATCTTGATCATTAGAAGGGTACCCCAAGATTGGAATTCTTTTTCCGGGATCATGTGGAAGAAGTTCAACATCGTATACGCGATCCTCGACACCAACATTTGAAGTACTTGCTCCATGTGGTTGTGAATTGCTTTCAAGTGGAGGTTGAATGACATTAGGTGACTCTATGTCTTCTTCATCCTCTATGTCTTCACTAATAGGTTTAGAGTTTGGAAAGGAAAATTTTGATGATTTTTTGAGATTTGTTCCAAAAGTGCTCCAAACTTTTCATGGTCACACACTAGTACACTACAATAATTCAAATAAAATTAATTAGTACTACATCTACTGCAAATTAATTCATAATTCATTTAACAATCAAGTATCCAAGTGAATCAACATATTATGATATTAACAATTAAGATTTAAGAAACTCAAAACTCAAAATTAAAACTCAAAAACAGAAAAGAAAAAACAGAAATTGAAAAGAAAAAACAGGGAGTAAGTGAGAGAATGTTACCTCGAGTAGATCGTCGGCGTCGCCCTTGACCCTCGTGGCCTCGTCGGTGAGTAGTGGCGACAGGTGTGGACGTGTCTCAGTGCGGCGTCTTGAGAAGTGAGAAAAAATGGAGAAGAAAGTTAGGGTTTAGCAAGCAGCAGTGAGCAGTGTATGAGAATTGAGAAAAGAAAGGGAACAATTGAATAGAACGAAAGTTACAGGGAAAAAAAGGGAGAAAAGAAAAAAGAAAAAAATAATAAAGTTGCGCGTCCTGGGTTTCGAACACGCAATCTGTGGCACAATTTGAGAGTCACTAAACCAACTGAGCTAGCGCCTGACATAGTAAACAATTATTTAAGATATTTTATTTATAGGTTTTTTTTTAAAATAACTTTTAATTTTTTTTTCCGGATCTAACGGGGTTCAGTTGAACCCCCTGAACCCCCGCTAGATCCGCCACTGGTTGACGATCTCTTGGATTGTTAAGGGGTGTAACCTTCACCCTGTGAACGGTTTACAAGTTCCTAAAACTTGTTGGCGACTCTTTTGCTCTATCTTCTTCCTTTTTGGACGCCACCGTACTTTAGTGTATGATCACAATGGGGTTTAAGCAAGGGGATTAACGCTTGAAATTATTCCCCACACTTAGCCACCCTTCAAGATCTGGGTAAGAAGCTTATAGGAGCACACGACATCCGCTTTGGGAACTGGGATCCCGGAGCAACAGGGGAGCTCCGATACACCAACGGCCACCATATTGACCGCCACAACAACAGGGGTAACTGGGATCACCGCAAGTTGGATAAGCCGAAGTTTGAAGGCGTCGATCCCAACGGAAAATTTGGTGGTGGACATCATGGTGGTGGTGTTCAAAACGATTTCAAGGAAAGTAGTTCGGGAAAGAAGCTAGTTGGTGTCTTAGGTGGTTCACCAGCAGCACAATTTAAGAAGGGAGGTGTTGGAAGAGGACGGTCCGATGGGGGTCTTGGATCCTTAGCCGGAAAAGGTGAGTTTGGTGGTAAGGCCACCACTAGAAGTTGCTTGAACAGGGACGGAGCTGGCTTCGTGAGAGGCGGGTCAGTAGCTAGTGGGACCGGAGGAGGCCCTGGTGGGTCCGAAAAAGGTGAGGATAGTCGTAAGACCACCACTATTGGTGGCCTAAGTATAAAAGAAGGTGTCTTTGTGAAGGGCAGATCTGGTGCATGTGGGCCAGGGAGTGGACCGGGTTGTGTGTGTAGGTGTGTGTGTGCGGTTCAGGAACAACGGGCTACAGGTGTTTTGGGCTGTCGGGTCGCCGCAGAGAATTGTGGGGGATTGCGCATGAACGTCCATGGTTGAGGTGGTGTTGATTGTGGTGGATTCGTGCAGTAGAGGCGTGGTGATTTCGCTGGTGGTTTCATCGGTGGTGGTGATCTCGTCGGAGATGGACTTATGTCTTTAACTGGTGGTGGTGTCTTGGACGGAATGAGACCAGATTCCTATGAGGGCAGTGGAACGGAAGGTGGGAAATGGTGGACATGGTTGCTGAAGTATTCAGTGGTGGCGTGCGGTAGAAGTTGTACTCTGATTTTGGTGGAAAAGAACAAAATTCTAGAAAATGGTAGTAAGGGCATTCTGGTAAAAAGTGGGGAAGGAGACAGGAAAAGGTGGAGCAGGTGTAGTGGTTTGATTGGTCCCCTCTCATATTTACAAGGCAATTTATTAACAAATCATAGCATGTGCCCAACTAATGGAAATGAGGGTAAAGATTTTGAAGCAGTAAAGCATGTCACTGGGCCTTTGTCTAATAAAATCAACATTCATGCCATTTTACCAGTCCATGTTTTTTAGTCCAAATTCCATGATCCAAGGATCACAAGTCAGACAAACCCAATTTTGGTGCCACATCCATTTGATTCCTTTTGCCATATTAATCAAGATGTTTAGCTTAATCTCAACATCCTTAATCCGACTAAGTTTCCTAATCCCCCTTGTTCTCAACTACTCCCAGATAGTAGCTCCCAATATCATTGTAGAGAATATTTCAAGCATTATCCCAAACTTGAACCCTACAGTGATCATACACTTAACTATGGCGGCGTCCAAAGGGAAGGAAGCTAGAGCAAAAGAGTCGGCAACAAGTTTTAGGAACTTGTAAACCATTCACAGGGTGAAGGTTACACCCCTTAACGATCCATGAGATCGTCAACTCCAATAGGCCGGGTCTGGATCCATGACTGGTGTTTGGGGATGAGGGTATCACTAGGTGAAAAAATAAAATTGGCACCGGTTCAAAACCCCTCAATGCCACCGGTTTTGAACCGGGGCCGATATGGGGGGTGCCAATTAGTGGATGAAAAGGCCACCGGTTTGAACCGGTGGCAAAACTCAAAATTGGCACCGGTTAACCGGTGCCATAAAAGCCCACAAAAAATTAATTCCAAGTTTTTGGCACCGGTAACCGGTGCCAAAAAAGCCCAGAAAATCATTTTTTTTTGTCTTTTTTCACTTAAAAATTAAATTGACTAAAATAAATAAGAACAACAAAATATAAATCGAATATCATTCAATATAATAGAAAATTTACAGTATATAATTAAAAAAAAAAATTACAATATAGATCTATAAAATTGATCAATTACAACATATAAATAAAAAAAAAACTACAATATAAATAAAAAAAATTACAACATCACAATAAAAAAAACTCCATACAACATCTAAATCAATATTCTTGATTCTACGATTATGTGCACTATTTTGGAATGCAAAGCAATAGTATACCTGCGCCAATTAAAACATCCAAAATAAATCGATTAAAATGAATTAGTTGCGAAAAAAATAAAAAAAAACCGAGAAAATAAAAAAAATCGAATTAAATTCGATTAAAAGAAAAAAAATCAATTAAAATAAAAAAAGAAAAGAAAATCAGTTAAAAACAAAAAAAAAATCAAATTTAAATCGATAAAAATAAAAAAAACAGTTAAAATAAATTAAAAATCCAAGAAAATAAACAAAATCAAATTAAAATAAGTTAAAAAAATTGATTAAAACAAACCAGAAAATCGAAAATCAGTTAATAACCCAGAAAAAAAAAAGAATTAAAATCAACACTTAAAAAATCGATTAAACTAAAAAAAAAATTGATTAAAACAAAAAAAAATCGGTTAATACAATTAAGCTTCGAAAAAAACAAAATTCAAAACCAAAAAATTCAATCCCAAAAATTCAAACCCAAGAAAAAAAATTGAAATCGAAAAAACCCAGAAAAAAAAAATTGAAATCGAAAAAAACCCAAAAATCGAAATAACCCATAAATTAAAAAAAAAACTGAAATTGAAAAAACCCAGAAAAATAATTGAAATTGAAAAAAAAAACCCAGATCGAAAAAAAAATCAAAATCGAAAAAAAAAATGTTAGAATCGAATAAAAAAACAGAAATCGAAAAAAAAATCAAAATTAAAATAAAAAAAACCTAGAAATCGAAAAAAAAAACCCAAAAATCGAAAAAAAAATTGTATTAAAATTCAATAAAAATACCAGAAATCGAAAAACAAAAATCAAAATCGAAAAAAAAAATCAAAATTGGAAAAAAAATCAATTAAGAGAGATAATAGCTAACTCTATAAGGATAAAAAATCGAAATCGAAAAAAAAAAATCAAATTTCAAAACCAGAACTCGAAAAACAAAAAACCCATAAATTGAAATCGAAGGAGAACGGTCTTGGTGTTGCATGTTGGTGGTCTTCGAATGAAAGAAAGGAGGAGGACACGAGGGAGAAGGAGATCGAGAAAGAGAAATAGCAGGAGGAGAACGAGATCGAGAATGAAAGAGAAGGAGTGGAGAGAGAAAGAGGAGAGAGGATAGAGAAACGGTTGTGAGAGTTAGGGTTGGGGGGGGGTTATAAAGGGCCGGGTTTTTTTTATTAAATAATGGCACCGGTTCAAACCGGTGGCTTTATGTTTTTGCCACCGGTCCGAAGTGAACCAGTGCTATATGTCTTGGTTCATTAGGCCGCCAATTTTTAAGGCCATTTTTGCCACCGGTTTGGACAAAACCGGTGGCAATAATTAGGGGGTGCCTTTTTGATTTTTTTTCTACTAGTGTACAAATCGTACCTAAAAGAGACTGAACCTACCCTAATAATAGGCCTCTACTTTATTCTCTCGTATTCATGTGCGCTTTCTGACTAACATGTAATCAATAGGTTAACCCTAAACCTGTTTATCTATGTTGGTTGAATATTAATGCACAAATGTAGACACCAAAAAATGTCTCCCCAAAACCAAACCCGATGATGAACAACCTTTCACCGCCATTATTGGTCGGGTTGAGTATTTAATCTTGGAGTGCTTAAATCCATATTTCCATTTCATAAACCAACCCAATTCATAGCCCATTTCCCCAAACCATAACTTATTTTCCTCTTTTCGTGCCTTTAAACCCAAAATAATTCATTTCGTGTCCTTTAAAATCATTCATTTCGTGTCCTTTTTATAAAAACGTTTAATCCAGTTTATTTTGGTCTATAATCTGGGTCCAATGATTAAATATTTGGATGGGTCTTTAAAAGAGCTTTCCAACGATATATTATAAGCCCAAATCCGAGTTATAACGAATAAGTTATGGCCAAAATATTAAACTGAGCCCAAACCGAACCTAAGCCCACCTTACCTACGACCCAATGATCATGTGGAGGGTCCAAATTATTTAATCCTATTCCTAAACCAATTAGGATTAATTAGGATCTTCTACAAGTTTCTAAAAGATCTTAATTATTCTTTTTGAAAAGATAAGATTAAAGAGTTTGAAATTGAATAAAACTTCTTTTTATTAAAAATCCTATTTCTATCAGAATTGAAAGACATTCAAAGATAGACAGATATTATTTTCGTGTCTCATAGTTTTTATCCAAATTTTATATGGTTGGATAGCCCTTGAAATTATCTTTCCAATGATATATTACAATATCAATTTCGAGCTATAATGGAAAATATATGAATAAAATGTCAAACACTGTCCAAAACTAACACCGTCTCACTATTTTGGTCATATATTTTATTATATAAAATATTTTAATCTTATTCTAATTGGGTTAGAAAGTAGACTTCAAGAGCTTTCCAACGATATCTTATTCATCTTATTCCAATTTTTGGATCAAAAGATATGATAAAAACAAAAATTGCAAAAATTGTTGTCTATCGCAAGAGTTTTATCCGATTCGAATTCTTATCTTTTCTTGATTCGACCCCTCTTTTTTCCTTATAAATAGAGGTAATATCTCCCCTTTTCCAATAATCAACAAGTTTGATCATCAAATCATTCTCTTCTTCCTCTTTAGCCTAAACACTAGCCATCCTGTTCTCTCATAATACTTCCCCTAAGCGCTCCAAGGAGTCCATACAATATCCGAAATTCTATACTTAAACCAAGGCGTGTGATGTGTCTATTTTATATATTATTTTACCCCCGTCCCTTGGTTATAATTAGTAGTGTTTTTGGCTCTTTAGAGCCACTTTTATTACTAATTGGTGTTTTCTAGTGTTTTCGTAGATTTGGTTGACTTTTGCAGGGATTTATGCTTTTAGAGTATTTTCCCGAGATATTTTGGAGCAATCACGAACATTGGAGAGGCACGACCAGAGTTTATAG